TCCATGATGTTTCAGTTTATGATCCAAGTATTGTGCTATTAATTGAATATTAGAATAATGCTATCATCATTGTCGCCGAAACTTGCTCCAAGGATCGTCAAATCGATGTTTTTCAGGCCTTCCTCTACCAACCAACCCTCCAACCCACAACAAATATATTCAACTTGATTGCTTCTTAATCTCACCCACAAGGTACAAAATAGTGGTGATGATTTGCAAGCCACAAAGGCACAGGAAAAACAATGGAAGAAGGCAAGAGAACTCCATGTTAAAGAACTTTCCCAACAACATGTGCATTATCTTTTGCACTAGATCTACAAATGGTTGTTGCTTCAACTAAGATACCACTATTTTGGCAAGACTTTTCTGCATCTTTCGTGTAAAATTGAAGACCATTTATTACAAAACTAGAATATGACAGACTGGCATCTAGGGCCACGTGCAAGCCACTTTAAAGTATTTGCAACATTGTCGAGAAACAATTGACCTGTAATCTGTTATTATTATAAACATGTTAGGAATAAAAGAATAAACATCTATGTTAAACACTAATCTTGTTGATATATGTACTTCAACCTTATCGTCCAACCAGGCAGCAAAAGTGTCAATATGTTTCTTATACAACAAATTCTCATTTCTTTGAAGTCATTTGTCAAAACTCTTGAGTTCATCCATATGCGTCCTAAGTGGAAAACAATATATCAAGAAATTAATATGGTCGAAGAACTTAAAACCTAACAAAGTAGATATGTCATGAACATACTATACGTATAGAGCCACTTCTATACTATTTAGCAGCACATAGCAAGGGGCAACTTTCAGCATCTCATCAAATAGTACAAGTGGCTTCCTTTTAGAACTTGTACACCCTGCAACTAAGAAGTCACTTTCATATTCTTCATTGCACGCAAACTTAGAGCCTATTTCAAATGCTTGTTTAATGTATTTGCTACAAAACAATGCATTTTTTTCAACAATATATCATTCAGCTATGCATCCTTCAGGTCATGAACGATTCATGACGTATTCTTTCAACACTTTCATATATCTACACATTTTCCAAAAATCTAATAAAATAAAAATAAATTTGATAGTGAATTTAACTACTATGATAAGTTAAGGAATACCACCTCTCAAATGGGTACATCCAACAATATTGAACTGATCCACATAGACAAGCTTCTCTTCCATATGGATTGTTAAATAAACATTATATCAAAAAAGAAACTTTTATTATTTGAGTGTCATTTAAGTTGTGTTGGCATTCCATCTATTCCGAACATCCTCTTAGATCTTGGTATGATAGGGAAATAATACAAGACTTTTGCTAGAATTTTACTTTTATTTTTTTGAAATTTCTTAGTCCATTGGTTAACTTTTTATTTATAACAACCACATTTTAGACATAATTCTGCATGTTCAAGCTCCTTCCTATATAGACAACAACCATTCAAGTAAACATGTATCTTATCATAGGTAAGATCAAATGC